AAATATATATATATATATTTTCTCTTTGGGGCAAATATTTAGCGAAATTAGGTTTTACAAAATAAGTATGCCTTGGGGAAAAAAGAACTCAATATATATGGAAATTTGTTTGTTTGAAGTTAAGCACAAAGCTACACGAAAGGCTATCTGTGCTCTGCCCACCACGGGTTTGAAATCCAGTTTATAGCGTTGTAAGTCCGCAGACATACCGCTGTGCCACCGGGGGGGAATATATGTAAGAAAAAATAATTGAAATGTTTTTCAAAGTAACTACAAAATTGTATTTTGTATATAATGCATAGTATAATATATCATTTCATTTCAAATTACACCATTCGTCAAGGTTAAAATAATGTTCACCAATCAGGAACATCCATTGACTGACTGTATAATTTTTTGAAACAATTAGCTATTTATGTGAGAGGGTGTTAATTATTTGGAAAAATATAATTAAATGCACGTGCAGAAAAGCACGTAAAATTATATTGCAAAACCACATACTATACAAATGATGGACATTTTTCAATTTTTGGTCAACTTGTAGGAAAAAATCAAAGACTATGTAAATTCTTAATAATTTATATAAATAAACAAAAAAAGAGCACACACCCTTTATGAATAATGCACTGTTCCTTTAGATAAATTTGCCTTAAAAAGCTACCGTTAATTTTAATAATGTAAATGAAATTCACAAAATATTACAAAGCAAACAGTCAAAGCTTTCACGTTGAACTCTCTACAGTCTATAAAATTTTTCTCTAAGTGATATGAACATAAATGAACAGAACTTGTGTGTTTAATATAGACTTGTTGTGTTTTGTTCAGTTTTTTTTTTTTTATTGCACGCCTATGTATTTTACGCAAGTGTGCCAAAAGAACAGTAATATCTTATTAGTGTCACCCGTCAGATCATCTTCAATGATGAGCTTACACTACGGTTTACATATATATATATATGTTCTAAGTAATTAATTAATTTTAGTTTTGTTTAAAATTATAAAACAAGATGAAGTATATATGCGATAAGGTGTGTTTATTTGTTTTCATTTAAGCATAAAGTTACACAATGGGCTACCTGTGCTCTGCCCACCACGGATATCGAAACTCGCTGTGTCGCTGGGGGTGGGGGGGTGCTTATATAAATGTGACGTTCCTAAGATATCCTAAACACTTCTTAAATTAATCGTTAGATAAGTCACACGTTGTCTGTAAGGTAATTCTCATAAACCACTCACACATAAACAATTAATTGCTTCTAAATTAAATAATAATAATGAGTTTTGAAAAACGTGTTTCAATTATACTCTGAAAAAAAAATCAATTTAAGGAATTTCCTCATCACGTGAGTGGAAGAATACAAACAAAATATATAACAATTAAGTAATAATAATTGTCAGTAAGCCTCCAATTCAATAACATGAATCAATTGTACGTACATGAATCACATGACCACAGACCATTAAGCCAGTCTTTTTAGTAATGCTATATGCAAAATCAACCAGAGGAGGTCGGCTACTTGGGTTACCGGTAAGAACAAGAATAGCTGGTCTGAAAGAAAAACAGTAGATAAGTAACACAATCTTAAACAAAGATTCTGTTGGTTTGCCCTATTAACCTCTCAAAGACAATGATTTCTTTTGGTTTTCATTGATAATGTACAAAATAGGGCATCGAACTCCACAAAATCACAGACAATAAAAATATACTGATTAAAATTCAGTTTCAAACACTTCCATGGATTCTTATCAACTCTTTTCCATACTGCTATTCATTTTATCCTCGTGAACTTTTGATGAATAAATCTGGTTTTGAAAAACTCTTATGCTTAACTAGTTACCTGTAATTCTTCACATGATCTTCAGTGCGATTCAGCTTCAAAGTAGCTTCAAGGGCAGATTTGTAACAAGCCGCTTCTGTAGATGTCCCCCAGTTAACGTCTATTTAAAAACGATGAATACATACCATTAAATGGTCCTACTACAGCCACCAATATGATGTATAAAAATATCAATATCTTAAGAGAATAATTCACATAATTTGTTGAGATACCACACAAACAAATTGTTTTAAGTGTTACTTTATACGTGTCAGGAAAAGTAAAAGAAATTTCCTAAACACAGAAATAGAATTGCCTTTTGATTGTACTAATATAATTAAATTTGTATGTATTACGATTATATCTCAGTGTCTATAACAAACATATACTGTAGACAAAACCGGAAACTCAAACTTTGTCGATTATATTGTACTTTGAAATTTTACTATTAATCAGGTTAGGCGCGGCCTAGAGATTAGCGTGCCGGGCATTGTTGAGGAAAGTCCAAAGTTCGAGTCGCGATGTGTTGTTGAGTACACTACACAATTTCAGCTATGAAGATATTATCACCGCAACAATCAATATCGTTATTCATATGGCCTGGCATGGCTAGGTGGTTAGGGCGCTCTACTCACAATCTGCAGGTCGTGGGTTCGAATCCCCGTCCCATCAAACATGCTCGCCCTTTCAACCGTGGAGGCCTTATAACGTGACTATCAATCCTACTATTCGTTGGTAAAAGATTAGCTCAAGAGTTGTCGGTGGGTGGTGATTACTAGCTGCCTTCCTTCTAGTTTTTCACTGCTAAGTTAGAGACGGCTAGTACAAATAGCCCTCGTGTAGCTTTGTGAGAAATTCTAAACAAACCCAAACAAACAAATTCGCTTAAGAGTACGAATGACATTCACTTATGACAAAATGTTGTTACATTCTAACGCAACAAACGCTACTTCTTGTGCGAAACAAACAATGGTCTCAGTTTCCTAGCAAATTCTAAAATAAAATTATTAAATCATTAGTTGGATTTGTTTGTTTGTAATTAAGCACAAAGCTACATAATTGGCTGTCTGTGTTCTGCCCACCACGAGTATCGAAACCCTGTTTCTAGCGTTGCAAGTTCGCAGACATGCCGCTGTTCCACTGGGGGGTTCATTAGTTAGAACACGTTCTCATCCTCTTCATGATGAAATACTTCAATAAATGGTTATCTGTTTCAGTTCTTTATCAAAGCAGTCACTTTGTACAAGGTGTCCACAAATGGTCAGGCACATTTTGAAAAGTAATAGTTTTAAACGTATATAATACTTAACTTTCCCTCAGGTTTTATACCATCTCAACATAATCTCTATAGATGTGCACTGTGCTTCACAGGCGGCTTTGTTATTTTCTAAACATCCTGAAGAATTCGAATTATGTGGTTATTTGTAGATATTTGCAAAAAATTACTCTATAGCTATCTGCGCTAGTCGTCCCTAGCTTTGAAATGATAGACTAGAGGGAAGGCAGTTAATCAACACCATCCTCCACCAACTCTTGGGCGATTGTTTTTGGCGATGACGGTACTCGAAGTAAGGGACCTCAGGTCCACAATCGATCAAGTTGTGCTCGGCCTTGCATTCTAAAATTTCATCAGGTATCTCTTTGATATAGTCCTTGAGATCGGCTTCTTTAGCTGAATTAAAGGCTTCAACTGAACTGTGAGTTTGACGAGTCCCAACAAGGAAACGTTCAGTGACGTTCGTTGGTCTAGAGAACACAGCATCCAGATGATGATGTGGTGGAAGCCAACTGTTCATTAGAGCATATACCAATGCCTCAGCAATACAAAATAAATGCACGGTAGCACCATCTTACTGGAAAAAACGCGTGCCGATAACACCTATAGCTTCCAGATCTGTGGTAAAAATTCTAATCAGCATGTCTTATTAATTGATTCCAGAAATTGATAATTGAAGATACATGACCTACACTAGGTCAACCTTAGGACACGTATAGGTCATGTGGCCTTAAACTGTTTATGACTTTCTTTAATTACATCGTTCGACTGGTCTCTTTCATGATATACTTGTTGAAACTGTCAATGCATGAAAAATTCAAACATGAATTCCACGTAATAAAGAATGGCCTGTGAGTTTTATTGAAAGGTTATCATTTTGGCAGTATTTATTGACAAAATATTTATTTATTTATACTATAACTGGTAAGATAGAATAATTTTGAGTTTTGAGAGCAATATGGGCTTGATATAATGTCTTTACCTTTCCCTGTTTGAACGTTTTACGTTGTAAAATGAGTACAAGCATTTGGATACACCACATGTCATTATCATCTTTGAAGCTAAGAAGAAAAACTACTCACTAACAAAGTGATTTGTTAAAATATTGATTAAAGTACCTGGTTTGTTTCGCAGAAGGTACAAATATAACCCTAAAACGACAATGAACGTAATAAGAGCAGTAATCCAATTCATAATAAACATCACAGCTAGGCAAAGAAGTGCGCCAAGAAGGCTTAACCACTTGTTGAAGAATTTAAATCCGGGTCTAAAACCTGCAAAATACAACATCAAAATTACCATCTTCTAATCTATTACATTCCATAAAGCTTAATTGTTTTGTGTTTTTCATACAAAATTTATATTTTAATAAATTATGAACTTAAATTAAGAAAGTTCAAAAGACAACAAAATAGAATTTATCAATATTTGTAAGGATATCATAGTACGAATACAGATTACTTACACATTTATTAATGTATGTTTATAGATGCCGTAATATCATGAACAAATTAAGATAGCTTTAATATCATGAAGATAGTTTTACATATTCAAAAACACTTGTAACACAATGAAATAAAATATCCTTTCCTTACCTGGAGATTTTATGTATGAAACATGAAAACAGGAGTAGTTCAGAAGACAGTAATTTGCCATGAAGAAATTAGATATTATTGGAGCTATCACATTAAGTTCACCTAAAAGTATGAAAAAAATCAACTAACAAAACATACCATAATATAATTTCCTAGAAGATGTAAAGTCAATTAAAATAAATACATTATATGGTTCATTTTAATATATAGTTCACAATTATATGTCAATGGCTTATCGATATTTATTGAATATTATTCATTATCATCATTCTAAGTGAGCAAATCAGAACTGAAACTCCTTTTCTCAAATGGTCAATGACATGGGTTTTATAAAGTAATCGTTGCTAATATATTTCCCAGTAAAAATTACAATCTCAGTTGATTAGTATAATAACTTCCTTATGTATAATGGAATATCTCTGACTGAACTTAGTTGTTTTTTAAATAAAGAAAATAATTAGTTTTAGAAATGGATCTCTTATATAAATCTAAGGAGTACTTAATCAGAGGAATAAGTGAGTTTTTACACCCTTTCTAGCATTTATCCGGGAAGACAATATATATATATCTCAGAATTACCTATATGTGCTGATCATAAAGAAATATTAAAAAATATCGGATTTTGTGTATGCAATCACAGGCATATATATATATATGTGTGTGTGTGTGTGCTCTGAAACTGAATGAACAATTAGTAGTACGCTAAAGTTGTATATACACAAAATTCACTGGAAATAAACCTATTTCTTATATGGAACATTTTCGGTGTTAGTATTGTACTACATCAGAGATAGTATCTCGACACCAGATCTGCCAAGTTTCAACCAACTTCATAAGCTGATTTTACAATATGATATATATCATGTTCTAGATCCAAACTATGGTTTTGTTTGGTTGGAAGATGATCAGAAGAAGCTAATTATGCCTTATAGAATATTATCATTGAATGTTTTTGTAATAAGTAAATAACCTTCGTGAGAAAGAACCAGTTGAAGGGGTAGCCAGTAGCACTATCTATTTTACGATAGACTTGTCAAAGTGAAGACGCCCAGCCTCCACGTGAAAGTGCTCATTCACACCTTTTATTGCATCATATGCAATCCACTGACAACAATCTCAAGGATCCGATCCTCATCCTATCACAATCCGTTCTCTTGTTTCAATGGTTTGGAAATTTTTCCATCACTATTGGAACAACAAAACTCTTGGAGAAGTTTGAAAGAAAATGCTACTTTTCTAACCATCCTGCTTCCGTTAAACAGCCCCCCCCCCCGGTGGCACAGGGGTATGTCTGAGGACTTACAATGGTAGAGATCGGGTTTCGATACTTGTAGAGGGCAGAGCACAGATAGCTCATTGTGTAGCTTTGTGCTTAACTTCAAACAAATAAAATCCCTTCAACATCAGCGGTAGTAGAAAAGGTACTCAACCGAACGGAGAGGGCTGTTCATGAAGCCATATTGAGCTACGTATATTACAATTAATTCGTCATTAATTATAATTAACATTTAACAACAGTTAAGTTAATCTCAATAAGAAACCTGCCATTAGTAAATGTTTACTTCAGTCATCTGTTAGTGTTTAAATTACCTTTCGTTACTGACTAAATTATCCAAATAGAAATATATCAATTGGACGTCCTTATAAAAAAATATATTTGATTCTTGCTAAGTATTAATTTAACGTCAATTAAAAATATAATTCATTGTCAGTTGCACTTGAATTACATTTTGTTACTTCGATCTCATTGTTAAATATCCATTTAATGTGACTAATGATTACTTAAATGCGATATACTTATGTAATTGCATGTCAACTGAATATCTGTTCCATAACATTTAAAGCACTACCCAAATAATTGTTCTACGTTTCTTTGCGGTGTGTATTCCTAAGTGAACTATAGTAACAATAAGGAAAGCTTATTATGTTTTATCGGGCAACGTATAACCATTTATGCTAACTGATAGTTATATTTATAACAGCAGATAGCTACGCTTGAACACCAGCATGAAAGGCTATACTTGGGTATTAGTCTGACAAGTAAAATATTGACTATACCACGCAAGTCTGATAGACTCGTGGTTATTATAGTGTTGGTCTCGACACCATATTTGTACTACATAAACATCTGGATGTATTTCCCTTATGTTCCGTTTACTTGAACAACATTTAGGATTACATAAGTTTATAAAGTTCAGTTTAAAACTCCCAATAATCAGATTGTTTGTGTCTTTTTTTCCTAAAACACCCCCAATTAGTGGAATTTTCAAACCTTGCATTTCATTTTCTCACCTGTTCAATAGAGCGTGGTCGCCGTGATTCATCTAATATAATACATTGTAAGATATATAATAAACCGATTTTCTAGCAAATTATTAATATATATATATATTTCTGCTATCTTATTCTTCGACAGAAAAATAAAATCTTGAGAGCAAATATAACAATTTTCAATCTAGCGAAACACTGAAGAAAAGAAGTATCTTACCAATAACCGTAAACATGATAGAAATAATAACTGTCAACACTGCTGCTCGGCGTGGATCATTAGTTTCTCCGTAGCCTTTTTCAAAGAAATGAATATATGGAAACAGTCTATCCTTGCACACAGCCTGAAACGTATAAATTATATTAACATATAACTGATAATAATAGTTTACATGCCAAACAACATATGAACGCTAGAAAAAACTCATCAATTAACCCATTAGCCCATCGTCCTACGAATTCTCTTATCTGGATCCGAGAGGGTCAGGTTTGATGTTTCCACCCCCTACCTTCTCTGCATTTTTTTTCCACTTAATTTCACTGTCACGATTGAAATATCCTTATCAGGGCCATGCCCATTTATGTTCAATTTCATCATTTGCACTGGTCTACATTTTGCTTCATTTGTTATGCTAAAGTCATACATAATCCCATATAATCCAGCGCTGATTCATCTTGTAACATATTTAATATGTATTTACATAAAGAAAAAACATTTTAATACATAACATATATACTACATAAATGATAAATTAAAGAAGTCTAGAAGTAGGTGGCTGATTGCTACACTTATAATACATATTTAGAGGTGAGATGTATTTAAGATCATTTTCATCATGTTTACGACTTCTTTCTTCTTCGTCGGAATTCGGTCCATGTTTTGGACCAGGGAGGGTCAGGTTCAGCGTTGACCTCTTCCTCCATTTGTTGACATTATGCATGATTCCACATAATATGAAGCGAACGCACAAAATCAATAGACAAAGTCTAATCTGCACAGATGATGATCTTAACCGGAGATTCATATCCAACATGGCGTATAAAGTTTGGAAACGACTTGAGTGGGTAGAGAAAGAAACTTTCTTTTACTACCCATTCAAGCAGTCTCTAATCTTTATTTTCCAAAAAAAAAATTTGGTTCCTCGTCATCAACATTGCGTATGTTGCTATTCAAAAATTGGTAATAATTGCAGTTGAAAATTGTTTAATTTTTTATGAGAAAACGGATCTAAAATGACATCAAATCACTCCAGTGCTTTTACATTGAAGAGACAATTGGACTTGTGCAACCTGACGATGATTTTGGCTTTGAACCTAAATTATCTGACGATGATTCTGAGCTTAATATGACCGAAAACAAATACGTGCCTATAGGGTTAAGCTTGAACTCAAAACTTGCTTAAAGTCACATTTCTAATAGGCCAGTGGTTTTAACATTTTTTTTTACGCGAACCAACCAATAAATAATAAATTACGCTGCTGCTTCATTTGCATAATTATTTAACCATTCCGCTGGCCAGGCCACAGATTGAGAGCTTCTACTATAAGCTATTAGTGGTTTTAAATATCGTAAGAGTAACTTTAACGTTTCGAGTACAGATACAGGATGATTTTAAAGAATGTTTCGCAGCTCAGCGCATCCTATCTCCAAAACGCTATGCATAAGAAAACGAACTTGCATAGAAATGTTAATTGCTTCATGCTGATACAAATGATATAGTTGTCACGACACAACTGTGGTGTCTTTTGCATATTCCATATGAGTATAAATTGGTCTGTCGATCGATTTGCAGTGCAGCTCATTCAATCAATTTATAATTGACAAGCGTGAAAAGAGGTGAAATAGCGAAATGTTACTGCTCGAAAGGATAAAATGCTAAGGTAGTTCTCAAAGATTAACGTAGGATTCATAGCTTCCACAGAGGGCGTTGTTCCACTGTTGCTGTGCGCAAGGTCATGAAAAAAGTTGAGGATTTATAGGTTGCACTGGTCACAAGCCACGTCCAACACCAACTGAAATTATCGCTGAGGTCAGAGATGCCACAGTAGAATAAACAAGCACATTGGTGCAAAAATGCACATTATATTTTATGATTTCTATATTGCGAATTTCACTGTTCGTAAGCCTCTTTTGGTTAAATTTACGAATGTTTGCTTACAAGCTACATTATGTTCAAGCACTGAAGGAGACAGATTTAAGCCGACATGTTGGTTCTGTGTTGCAATTCTTGGCAAGAAGTCGACGACCAAAGGGCTGCCAATTTCTTATGGGCTGATGAAGCATACTTCACCTTAGCTGGAAGTGTCAACATGAGCAACTTCCATGATGCTAATGTGACAGTGTGGTATGGTTTCATAGCTGACTTTGTTATTGGACTGTATGTCTGTGAATAACTATCAGCACATGTACTGCACGGTACCATGCAATGCTCAAAACCAATATGGTTCCCATGCCGAAACAAGAAAATAGGAAAGACACTACGGTTGTCACGCAGGATGGTGTCCCTCCACATATTGGTAATCAAGTGAAACACGTCTTGCGAATGCACTTTCTGGAGAGAATAATTTTGCGTAGCTTTCCATGTGAATAGTTACATCGACCACCGACCTAACAATAATCGAATTCTAATTGTTAAGATCTGAATTCACGCGTGCATCTTAGGGAGTTTCGCACAGTTCCAGAACACTAGGTTGCAAATTGTCCGGGAAATAGCAAGTTTATCACAAGAGTTGCACATTGTTGTTTCAATATCCGTTTTTACACAGATATAATACTTTCTAGACGCTGGAGGAGCACATTTTGAAGAACTACCCTAATTGATCAAACACTGAGTTATAGTGGACGCCATTGGTGGCAACGTGTGACAGTTGTGGCGTTCACATTGTAGTTTTAACACTCCTGTACAATTTCACCTTCCTATGCTATACAGTTTTGTGTGATATGATGTGCTGAACTGCGATTTTTGTCTTTATAATCTGTATAATGCGACCAGTGTATTCAATACTGCAAACTAAGTTAATAAAAGTGGGAAACAGAAATCTAAAACACACAAAATCTATAAAGGATGTGCATTATGAAACTGTTTACACAGTAAATAACAAAAATGAAACAGTTTATACAATAAATGACAAAAATAAAATAGTTTACAAAGGAAATAACATAAATAACAAAGTTAAAATAGTTTACACAATAAGTAACAAAAAAGGACAGTTTTGCACAGTAAACACTAAAATTAACAGAGTTTACACAACGAATACTGTAATAAATTACTTGAAAAATTCTCGGAGCGCTGATGAGTGCAGCTAAAGCTGAGGATAACGTTGCAGCAAAAATACCAGCGTATATCAAAGGTTCAAATCCTGATGACATCCCCATAATCTATAACCAAAAAATATACTTAATTTTCTTAGAAAATACAAAATGGCGTTTGAAATATCTCAATTTGTACTTAATTTGTGTGTTCTCAGACCTTAAAAATCATTAAGGTATAACATATATATATACAGGGTGTCCGAAAAGTCTGGAACTATATGTGGTTTGCCAGCTTTTCTTAATTTCAGATACGTGACTGATTGTGGCGTTGTCAAATCATAAGGTCGAGTTAATCCCCCTATTAATCCAAATTTGCTTCGAATTACAAGGACAGCATGTAAAATACATTCTATAAAATTCGTAGAAGTGCCTATAGTTCAAGACTTTTTGGACACCCTGTATGTATGTTACCACGACACACTTGTAAAACAACTGTAGTTCATGTGTAGTTACTTACTATATTTATAAAAATAACAAAGAAAACAACGTAAAATGATAGAGGGAGAGAATGGGAAGTGTCATTATCGTTACGACTGATTATTACGTTATATTCTAAAACCTTAAATCCAATTCTTCAATATTAATTTAGCAAGCCTCATCCCAATTTCTGAATAAATAATTACAGATTAACCTAATCTGATTCCTAGATGTTTTCAATGTTCGGAGTATAATCTATCATAATAAGGAAAGGACCAAAGCAAACATTTTCATGCAGTGAAAATGGTAGTTTCTACTCATTTTTCAAGTTTTAATATTGGATCGAGAAGCATTGAAATTAATTAGGAATTTAACTGATACAAAGTTCAAGAATATTTTTCTTAGATCAAACGTTAATTATGATTAAGTTTGGAAATGATATTATACCTTCACCGGGGTGTTTTAACTCCTATCCTAAGACGACATATTATTTATATATATAATGTTATATATATATAAATATATGTTACATACAAACTAACGTTCAATGATCACTTTAAGAAGAATGACAAAGACTAAAATGGAGATATTTTTCTTTTACTATAACCAGTTTCATAGCTTTTATGGCTACTCTTCAGTTAATTTATTGTTATTGAAAGGTAAAATGTTACCACATGTGAGATATTAATCGGGGATTATGTTTTCAGTAAAAAATTAGCATAAAAAAGTTCTCTCTCAAGCTTTTCTTCCTTCAAGAAGTTTTTTATCTCTCAGAAAGTCTAGATTTCTGCTGTTATTAGCTTTATTTTGCATCATCATTTACTGCTTTCATACAAATGTTCCAAAATACATTTTATTTTTTCAGCCACATGTCATTATTACGTTTTTATTCCTCTTCACATTTTTTTTCTTCCAACAAAGACATTAAAGACCTCACTAATAATGGTATATTGTTTGAAACGTTCAATAACCTTAAAGTCAATTCTAGGTATTTCACTCTTTTGGCTTTCAGTTCTAACTTGTAGGACTTCAAGTTATAAACGTTTCTAGGTGTTTCACTCCTTGACTTTCAGTTCTAGCTTGTAGGACTTCAAGTTATAAACGTGTCTAGGTATTTCACTCTTTGACTTTCAGTTCTAGCTTGTAGGATTTCAAGTCATAAAAGTTTCTAGGTATTTCACTCTTTAACTTTCAGTTCTAGCTCGTAAGACTTCAAGTTATAAACGTTTCCCGATGTCACTAATCAACTTTCCAAACTTATGTGGTATAAGAAAATGGTTTTCTTTTAGACATTCTTCTCTCTATATGGTACTAAACATCTCGGATATAAATCAACTCCAAAACACTGGCTTACTATTACTTAAATTATCGTTAATAAAGTTGGTGTTAAACTGTATTCCATTTCAATCACTGAATTTGTTTCACTACAATAAACCTCAATAAAAGCCTGTTGCGAAAGCAAACAATCAATTTTATTTAGATATTGAGTTAACTTAGAAATTAACTGGTGATGAATATTACTTTTTTCGAATTCCTGAGGTTAAATTACACACTAAAGTATCCAGTAAACATTGGAATTCTTCATGAGATTTTCAGCAGTTTTTTTTCTTTTTGAGTCATTTTAACGTACATTTTATATATTTTTAGAAACATAAACCACTCAAAAACATCTTGGTGAGGCGATAATGTTAATTAACATTAAGAGTTCATTTCATGAAGAAATAATAAGAACAACAAGAAAATAGAAATTTTTTGATATGGGAAGAAAAAATTTCAAAATAAAATTTGAGCAGTAGAAATCTAGAATTTCTAACAGACAGTTCGAAACTCTGAAAAAACTTTTTACAAGAAGAAAAGTTTAGAGAACAAGAAAACATTTTAATGAAGCTAATTTTTATCGGAGGTATAATCCCTGGTTAAGTGTTAAAATGTTACTATTCCAGGGAAATAAACCAATTGAGAGTAGACCCTGAAGCTCCGATAAGGTGTACAGTGTAAGAAAAATTAACTATAAATCTACATTCTATAACCTGAATATAATTGTGCATTCCGTATTGACAAGTCCTGTCAGGGCAGTTGGTAAAGTTTTCATTCAAAACGTCCGCTACATTGCCTGTTGCGTCTCGTACTGCTGTAAATCCTATCCATATGATTACAAGAACGTAGCTTATTGAAGTGGTGATGATAGATAGAAAGGTTCCTTTAGGAATGGCATCGCATGGATCCTGTAAGTTGGGGAAACGTTATATACTTAATATTTTACTATTTGTATATTTTAAGGACGAATAAATGGATAATTAAAACACTCATTTCGATAAGTGCCAGTGGAAATGATTACAGATGATTATTTATTTTACAAAAAAACAAAACCAGATTTTTAGGAATTACCAGCAGAAAAAAATCTTAGATGAAAATACATTCATAATACAATGACTTCATTATGGAAACGTAATTTTTAAACCTAATCAGTAAAGTTGGTATTAATTCCTTTAAAATATTTAAAATATTTTTTATGAAAGCTATAATATTTTTAATGCAGTACACTTTTAGTAAGACAAACGTACCCTCGAGTCGTCTGTACACTTTTAGTAAGACGAACTTACCCTCAAGTCACCTCTGTACACTTTTAGTAAGACGAACCTACCATCAAGACGACTGTACACTTTTAGTAAGATGAACGTACCCTCAAGTCACACGTACACTTTTAGTGAGACGAACTTATCCTTAAGTCACCCGTACACTTTTAGTAAGATGAACTTACCCTCAAGTCACCTGTACACTTTTAGTAAGACGAACTTACCTTCAAGTCACACGTACACTTTTAGTAAGACGAACTTACCCTCAAGTCACCTGAGATATTAGCTCCTGCTAAAATACCCGTGACAGAAGGAAAAAACACAGCAAAGACAGTAAAGAAGTCCACTCCTCTAAAGTCTGGACCAAAATTTTCTGCTCCAACAGTCACTGAAAAAACACCATTGGAAATCCTCGTGAATCGAAACGTACATTATTATCCAATAAATAACTAAAACGAACATATAAAAATAGTTGAATCAACAAAACTCACCGTCATTTTCTCGCCAAAGAATAGCTTACAATACGTTGAAAATATTTTTGATTAATTTTGCTCTCGTTTGCTTTTTCTTTACACAAAATTACATCCTAAAATTTGACAACAGTCTTTTTTCATGGTCCATATAACATAAATAAATGGAATACAAAAGGTCAATTACACTTTATAAGAAATATTGTTTGTTTGTTTTGAATTTTGCGCAAAGCTGCACTAAAGCTATCTGCGCTAGCGTCCCTAATTTAGCAGTGTAAGACTAAAGGGAAGACAGCTAGTCATCACCACCTACCGCCAACTCTCGGGCTACTCTTTTACCAACGAATAGTGGGATTGACCGTCACGTTATAACGCCCCCACGGCTGAAAGGGCGAGCATGTTTGGTGGGACGGGGAATCAAACCCGCGACCTTCAAATTACGAGTCGAACGCC